TAATAATAATAATAATAATAATTAATAATAATATTTCACAATATTACATTTTTTCCTGTATTTTTGATCTAATAAATGCAACCTTGATGAGCAGAAGAAACTCCTGTAAAAAAAACATTAAAAATAGTTCTGATCCCAAACTTTTGGCCAGTAGTGTATATATATGAAATTTTGTTTTATGAAATATGAAAAACAGACACAAAACACAAAAACAGATGCTTACTTAAGAGTAGTCTCACGTAGCCAGACCTTCAGACTGACGGCAGAAGGCCGCTTTGAATGGCAAGGACCGCCCAAGAGCCCATATGACTGACAGATAAAGCAACCAATCACGTTTCGGTTTGTGCTGCGTCATGTTTAGGGGCGTGGAAATGTCCGCACAATAACAGACATGAGGGGGTTTGGCATCACGGCATATTTGTTTCCAGGCGGAACGTTAAAAAACGCGACACGCCCGCCTCCCGGAAATCCTGTATAATTCAACCAATCCGATGAGACTTCAAGACTCAAAGTGTTTTAAATTTTGTGTGCCGTATGCATCAGAAGTTCAGCCAACAGTCCGTGATGTCTGAGGCTCAGACTAACGGAAGAGTGACTAAGGCACACATGTAACTTCGAGACTGCAATTCATGGAAAATTACAAAACATGCTATTAACAGTAAGTGTTTCAACAGGCATTTAAATGCAGCTATGCTGTAACTTCCCACACAGACACACCAAACCACAGTCTTAAAAGAATCTAGGTACAATTACGTAAATAACCACCACTGAAATTCTACTAGCTTGTGGCATATACAGTATATATATATATATGTGCATGCTTAATGAAGACTTAAAGTTCAGTCGTTCATCAGTGGGCCACTCCCAGCTAGTGTTGCTTTCGTCAACGAAAATTATGACTAAATATCGTCGTCAACGAACCTTTATCACGTGACGAAAACGAGACGAGACGAAAATGCTGGTCATGTGACGATGACTATAATTAAATGTATAAAGTAATATCGTTGACGAATAAAAACGAGACTAAATGTGGTTTACAAAATAAAAACTATGCTAAAATGTCTCTTCGTTTTCGTTGTGTATTATCCTGCTCTATATGTGTGTGTGTGTGTGTTATCCCGCTCTATGCGCGTGTGCGCTCCGCTCAGTCGCTCACAGCCCATGTGAGTGCTCCACTCGTAAATTGGTCTCTTCATTAGAAATTAGCCTACTGATTGCCACCATTGATAGACACATTTCTTTTTATAATATTAAAAATATCTCTGACATTATATTCTGCAGTTCTTCCCTGTTGTACCGAATATCTATACTTTTCAAATTATCACATCGAAGTTAGAAATTCAAATATTGTGACAAAATTAATTTTGTAGGGTGCCACAAGTTTGTT